TTTATTAGATGGAAGCGGCCTTTTAAGCTACGAAGTTACTCCAACTATGCAACATAACGGAAGTGCTAAAATGAGATTGGTAAATTGAATCCTACTCTCTGTTGCAGGACACTTACGTTTTACAAAGTCGTTGTTTTGGCCTAATTGCTGCAATAACTTTGCGGTGCCCCGAGGGTATTGTATGTAACAAGGAAAACGAACAAAGCCTATACATTATCAAATACTCGGATCGAGAAGTATTTTTTGCCGCACGTCAAATGCTCAGAGAGCCGTCGATTGTTTGTTTGAAGCCCATTTAACGTAATAGAGCAGTATGGATACATGGTTTCATTGTAGCTGCAAACGCATCTTCATCGTAAAGATAATCATTTATATGCTCTTAGCTACTCTCGATTGTGTTATAAAGGATAAGAAGTTCTCATTGCTATTGAAAGACTAATCTCGGGGGTACTATACAGCGTAGTATGATGGTAAACCAAGAATTCTGAGGCTGGTTTACGTCCGTAATGATAAGCTTTGGACACTTCTTTCGGCCATCCACATCGATCGAGCATTTAATAGAAATCCAATTGGCATCATCATCATAACCCGTTCTGAAGGGAATATCTTCAACTATACCTATTTTTTTTTATTTTGCACACATGAACATGAATATCATTTAAATTGCGATCAGTTAAACAATTCCACCAATCCAAAACCATAAATCTTTTTGCCATTTAGAGTCGCCTAGCTTGTCAAGGAGTTTGTCCATTTTTGTCGTGGTTTATTAATTCACCAGCAGCCATATTTTGCTTCTCGAAATTGTCACTAGTTTTTTTTTTTACTATTCCCTGAGAATTTGTTTGAGAGTAAGGGAAAACTAACTGCAGATGGGTTTGGGCGACACCTTTCTGCATGTAATGATAACCAATGATATTATTGTATCAGTCCAGGTGAATGTTACAATCGTCATTTTAGTCAGGGGACGAACGTTTTTCGAAAATTTAAAAAACAAAATAAATTAAAATATTCTTGTGATTTCAGTTATTCTCTATGAAACCATATTTTGTAATAATTCCCCATTTGACAAATATGCTTTTTCATTCTTTCTTTAACTGACTTTGCCTGAAAAAACTGTTGGTAAAATCAAATTTACATGTTTATTATCTTGCACTAGTTTTTTTGCTGAGAAATTCATCCTATACAGCTGAAGTCGCATAACACACATCTTGTAAAATGACAAATATTGGATTAAGTCGAAGGCCCTAACCGAGAATCGCCAGTATCTATCGAGTGTTGCTGTTTTTACCGTAAATATATACATATATATATATA